CCAGTCAAACAACTCTTGTTCGTTATTGCATAGACACCTATGAGCATAAGGAAATGGAATATCTAAAAAGGAAATTTTTTTAACCAAAATTTAATTACCAACCTTAGCAGCTGTTAAGAAGCATCTACTGTTACACATGATTAGTTGCTTATCCACTTATTTACCAGAAAGAATATACAAACTGATCAAATATTTAAAATATCAATGTGTTACTGGTTTTGACATATTGCTACACTTAATTTGCACTTCAGCTGTAAGTAATTTAAAGTGCACTAACAAATAAATCATTTAATCATACAACACATCTCACTAGTAAATATCAAATGTTTAACTGAATTCAAATATCAGATAGCAACAGAAACATGAAGTAATAAACCAGCAAAACCAAGTCAGTAATAATATTAACTTCATCACTCTAGCCATCCATATTTTATTGACAAGGGAGGAATCAGTTTTAAAATTGTACTTATTGGAGATTCTGTATATAAACCACAGGTCTTCAATGCAGCACAATTTCTGTGGAGTCATTGCATATGAAAAGTAGCAAATACATTAAGTTTCTGTGCATTTGGTCTTAGTAAATATTGGATGTTATTGCTTCGTCTGGACTTGAATTAGAGAAAACTTGCTTTGTAGCAAACCATGCCCTACATACAATTGCACAAGTTTAGAGATTTTGTCCAAGTATTTTGACACACTGAAATAACAGGGGAAAAATATTTCTAGTACTTCTATTTAAAAACCCTCTACTGGCTAAATGTGATTCCATTAATCTTGCCCCTGTTAAAATATAATAAAAATATAAAATATAAGAGAACATGTGATGCTTGTTTTTTTGGCAACCGATTTTAGTTTGCAGAAGCTTGAATGAATGATTATCCTAGAATGATGAATGATGTAATCAATGAAAGTATTCAGGATATGATTGGATAGCAGACACAGATGGCTTTGCTGAAGTCTATATTACTCTAGGGAGAAGTAAAAGGTCAAAATCCTAGAATCAATTTCTGTGTCAAGAATACATTTATTTTTGATAAATAATTTGCAAGATATTGAAAATTCTAGGTCACTATTACATATGTAGGACATTTGAACGAAAGAAGAATGATTAATGACTGATAAATCAGTAGAAGAAATTCTTACCAAATTCTTTAGGTACAGTTATTGAATAATGGCAAGTCTGTCCAGCAGTGTAATTATGAGGATAACTTGGTGATAAAACCACTCCTTCTGTTCCAGTATACTGCCCTCCACATGGTGCTGGAAACAAAACGAAATGTGTTGTATTAATTACAGTTGTCTGTATTAGTTCAGTCTGAAAATTAAGATTACAAAGTGACAGTTCAGTGCTGTTTCTTCTGTTTGGTTTTCCTAGGATAACATATCTAAGGGTTCTTTCTCAAGACACAATTTTTATTAATTTTTTTTTAAAAAATAGAATACATGTGTTTTACTTGACTGCACGTATTCATAAAGGACTGGAGGTATAAAATATCTATTTGTAAGAAACAGTAAACAGAATTAAATATGTTAAAACATCTTGTTGGATACTGAGTAAACACTTTTCTATACATTGAAAACAAAGTATTGCTGTCACTCTTCTCAACACATAAGAACTAATGAAAAGGCTTGGTTTCCAATCACAATCTTCATTAAAATGTAGGTCATAATAATTACATTAGTTATACGCAATTCAGTGCTCCCAGTTTTAGTCCAAAGATTTTAACAAACACTACCAAAAACTATAGATTTTAAAAGAATTAAATATTGTTATTTTGTTATTGTATAGTGCCATTTTACCCAAGCATCCAATAAGAAAGTATTTTTAAAATAAATTACTATATAACTTAAATATTAAAAAACCCTAGAATAGTCACCCTAGAATTTTTTTTTTTTTTTTTTAAAGGTAATTGCATAATCTAAACAACTACTTTATGCTATAAGGAAAAAAGTAACCTAGTGTTATTCTGCTCTGGTAATCTTCCATACAGCAGATTACATTTTAACATCTGCCTGGAAAGTAGCTCTGAGGAGAAGGACCTGGTATCCTCATGGACAACAAACTCATTGGTCTGGGGCTCTCAAAGGACCTTGTTACCAGCTTCTGGCTCTGCTGACCTAGCTCATGGGCTGTGGGAATGTTCCTAGTGAGTGAAGGTGCAACCTGTGCTTTGGTCATCCTCAGCTTCTGGCTCACCTGCCCTTGTGGAGCAGACCTGCTCTTTCTGCTCCCTGACAGCAACTGGGATTTAAAATCTCAATTGAAATATCTCTACAAGTTTAACTTTTATACAGGCAGCTATTAATACTACAAATCTGTGTCTTCTCTTAGCTGCTTGTATGAATTATTCAAAAATCCAATGTAATGATAGAAGATGAGAAGTTTAATCTATCAGTAGGCTGAATAGGATTATGTGGCTGAGGTGAAACTCAAATATCACAAGGAATCAGTTCATGTCACGAATTTAAAATCCTTGTATTTATTCCTCTTCTTCTTTGAGAATACTAGAAACTAAGGCACAAAATCTATCTTCTAATTACCAGATGAACTTCTCAAGTCATGAACATGTCACTGGAATGAAAGTATATCACTCATGCTTAACTTAAAAAAAATTTCCAAAGTTGGAATTGTAAAAATGTTTCCTTCTAAAATGTGTTTTCCTATTTTTAGACATGTTTTTGATAATATATTTAAGAATATCTCTGATAACATCTTTGTGGTATATCCACTCTGTAAGGAAAGCCTATAAGTGCTTAGGTTAATTAAGACAGAAAAAAAGGTTATCTTGTAGGTAAGGCTGTAAAATGTATCAGTGCAGTGCTGTGACAGTCAAACATATCCTAAACAGAGCTCTCCTTTTTGAATATAGGTAATGTTTGGTTTAGGCAGCAAACCCTCCATTTTCAGAGGAAGTATTTTAATAACTTAATTTAGAATTGTGAAATTCATAATGAAAATGAGAATGCCTGAGACTTTGCATTAGTGTTTCAAAATATACCTACTGGCAGTTGCCAAATGTTACCTAGATAAGTATAAAATTTGTTTTCATCATGTCTGACAGTAAAATACTACAGCAAAAAAACCCAAACCCAAACAAAAAAATCCACCAAAAAACCCCACACGACAAAGTAGTACAGTTGAATTCATTTAGTTAATTAATGTAATTGACTTAAAGGACTAACTGCATCATTTTAAGAGATTGTTAGTATTTATTATACAGCACTCATTATATATTCTTTTTCATGCTTGAAAATTTCAAACTTTGTTTCATATAATATTTTAAAGAACTTCAAAAAGGGACAATTATTTAACAGCATAAATAAAGAAATATAAACTCAAAACATTGCACTAAAACTGCACCATGAGCATTTTTGTTGTACAGTTTTAGTTTTGATTGGATTAAATGTATATTACAAGAGGGCTTTATGTGACAACAAAGGTGATCCTGGGTGTATTTTTGTTCTGGCCTCCTATTAGACTCCTACCCTTAAAATTATGTATTAATATGTTTTATATCATTGATCTATATCTTATATCTATATTTAAACATAACATAATTCATTTTGTTTATACTTTCTACATACATTGTTCGTTTACTTTAAGCTATTCCTGTCCCAATTTTACACAAAACTGTGCCATGTGACAAAAAGGATTCTTTACTGTCATCTTTGGCACAGCCATCATTACAGTACTATGGCCAAATAAGATTTACAGGGATGCAAAAGCTCATGCAGATCTCAGAAATCTGTGGTTTGATTATAACCCACAATTTGAGATCTGTCCTTCTCACAAATCAAGTATATTTCATTAGAGTTTTATAATAGTCCACAAAGGAGTATAAATAGATAAATATTTATGTAACGACTATGGTTTACTCCATACTAGAGACACAAGTGTAGCAGCCCTGTATATGATACTTTAAAGACCTCCACACCTTAACTGAAGTCGTAAGAGTATGCATTTTAAAATGGAACTCACAGTAAACCATACTAGATAAACAGACTTAAAGTACTTTATACAAGCATGTATTCCAGTTTAGTTTTACTCAGATATAACAGTGTTAAGTTACTCAATCTTTCAGTTAGTAATTTCTGCTTCTTTAGACATCGCAGTGTTATTTAGAATAGGTATCCCAAGCTTCTCAATAATGAAGCAGAAAAGTAAAATGATGTCTCAGAGCTACGGCTAATTAATTTATCCTCTATCCCTTTTTTCAGAATTTGTGTTGTGTAAACATAAAACAATTTTTACAAATTAAAAAGAAGTTACATATATTACTTATTTTCAATAAAGTACTATATGATTTATCTTGAAAAATAATCTCCTGTAAAATTGTAGATTTCTGTTATCTATTGTATGATCCTCAAAATGAACTCACTGTGATATACTGATGTCTGTTTTGTTAAAGTACAGGAACTGTCTTATTAACTCTGTCTGCTGTGGAACTTTAATTCTCAATGTAAAAAATAGAGGATTCAAAAGAATATTTCCCCTATTTTTTTATTTCATATTTTATAAAGTGTTATAGTAATAGATAGTAATTTAATAGCAAATTATTTCCAAAATACAATGTTCATTCTGCTTAAAAAAATTATGACTTTTAAATTTAAATTAACTTTGTATCAAAAAAAACCCCCAATGAGGTATACATGAATTTACAAGGTGAACCATGTCATTCTTATTTTTCTACACTACTTAGTGTTTTATAAGAAATGCTTAAATAATACTAAATATAATTGTTCTACAAGTGTACTTTCATAAGGTATTAAAGCTAAGCTATTGCAATGTTACAGCAAAAGCTGCATTTTGCACTCTATGTAAGTAAAACAATCATCCTGCTGTTCTATGTGCTCTAAATTTCTACCATATGGAGGGAAAAAACTCTCACTGTTTTTATTGAATATCTTTCAAAAAACAAAGCTACTGAATCAACAACCCCTGAGAAAATAACCCACCCATCCTAATTACTCTGTTTTCTGAGGAGCTGAACGCGAGCTAGCAATGTGTCGTTACAGCAAAGGTGGCCATCAGCCTCCTGAGCCAAGCGTTAGGATGATCATTTGGCAAAACGTCGAGGGAGGAGATCCTTCTTCTCTACTCAGCATGGTGAGGCTACATCTGGAGTGCTGTATCTAGTCCTGGGCTCCCCAGTACAAGAAAAGCATGGATTTACTGGAGTGATACCAGTGAAAAGCCACAAAGATGATTAATACACTGGTGCATCTTTCATATGAATTGATGCTGAGAGAGCTATGACTGTTTAGCCTAGGAAATAGAAGGCTTGGGGAGATCTTATCAATAATAAGATTAATGATGATGATTTCCTCCTTGGTGGGAGGAAATGAGGAAGAGGGAAGAACCAAACTCTTCTTAACAGTGTCCACAACAAGAGACAACGATCGCAAAAGAATACCCTTTGATTAAAATGAATAATGATAACAATAACAAAAAAACAGTAATAATAATTATAATTCTAATAATAATAATAATAGGTGTGTACAAAAATAACTCTATGTAATAATAATAGTTATACAACAACAAAATAATAGAAATGTGACAAGTAATTTCAGGGTTTGTGGGCAAATCTGTTTAGCATTCACCTAGTGACCTGTTGCTCTTACCTGAAATGCTTGGAAATAAATGATGCATACTTTTGCACTACTCTGGGTTCTCTGTTTCATTGGTAAGTGACTGTTTTTCTTTACAGAGTGGTACAATCTCCATGCCTTCCCTTAAATTGCCATAATCCATAATTCATCGACATTCTGCCCACCTCAGAAAAGATGAATTTAAACAGTATCTACATATCTCTGTGTGTGTTTGTATATGTATCTCTCAGTAAAAATGTGTGTGTCTGTGGGTGTATGCATATGCATATATTTGCAGTGGCAAGACTGCACCTTGAATACTGTGTTCTTTTTTGGGTCTCTCACTTCAAGAAGGACCTTGAGGTGCTGCAGCATGTCCAAAGAAGAGCAGTGAAGATGGTGAAAGGTCTGGAAAACAAGTCCTATGAGGAGTACCTGAGGGATCTGGCATTGTTTATTCTCGAGAAAAGGAGGCTTAGGTCAGACCTTATCACTCTCTAGAACAGCCTAAAAGCTGGTTGTAACGAGATGGGTGTCAATCTCTTTTCCCAAATAATGTGCACACCAGTGGTGATTTA